AGACACGCCACGTTGACAAAGGCTGTGGTGCACAGACACGCCACGTTGACAAAGGCTGTGGTGCACAGACACACCACGTTGACAAAGGCTGTGGTACACAGACACGTCATGTTGACAAAGGCTGTTGATAAGTGTTGATAATGTCTGTTGACTAAACTGATGCCACTCTTACGAAGACTTGTGATCTTACCGGAGATCACGTTGACGCGGACTGTGATTTAAGCCGATATATCGAGTAATTACTGTAATATCATCCATGCTGTAATACTGTAATTAATAACCATGCCTTACTGTTTCTGTAGCCGTCCGACTACGGTGTGTTCCAACAGGACCGCAGGGACTATCAGTCGTCTTTGGAAATCTTTACATCGCCTATCCTTCGGCAAGACAGGGAACTTCGAACTCGGCGGGCTACCAGGTCGAACACACTGACCCGCGTCCCCGCAGATTGTGGCGTCCCAAGAAGAGCATCCATCGGGAAGCGCCGAGTTCGAAGTTCTAAACCCCAAGCTGACGCTAAAGGTCATGTCAATACTGTGGAAACTCGCTGAGTACTGTACTAAGATTCCAGGAAAAAAAATGTGCGGGGATCTCAATAATTTACAATGCAGTTACTCTGTGGCACAGCTCGATGAAGGTACTCTGGTATAGCCTAGTTCGCTGTAATGCAGGTACATCGGCATAGCTCAAGAGTGATGCAACTAACCTGCGGCATAGCTTACACGATGCACGTACACTGACAAAATCCGACACGATGTACATGCACTGGTCGCTCCACTGTAGCAGTGACCTACCCCACTGCTGGATACAGGTCTCTTGTTGTCAAGAATATAATTATAATAATAATATTTTATTTAGGAAAAGTATATACATAGATGTAGTTACATTCTGATTGATTTATAGATAGAGCTAGTACATACAATACCTAAAGCCACATATAGGTCTCTTGTTGTCAAGAATATAGGCCTCTGCTGTCAAGAACACGGGTCACTATTATATAGAATAAAGTTTAGGCTGTTGGTTCACTAGGAACTGTTCACAAGCCTACGCCTATTGTGCGTCTCCCGGGCAAGTCGCCGTAGGGCGGGGAATAACTGGCAGCTTACACTGGTGCCAACTGGAGAAACAGCCATAATATGGGAATGAATTCACAGTTGTATCTCGTTAATAACAAACAGACTCTGCCGCTGTGTCTCGCGAGGGGGTCACAATGCTCAGTTACAGCAAAGCACTGCAGTCTTTTATGCATAAATCTACATATACGTTCCGAGTTTAATTAGCGAAACATCACTCGATCCTTGTTCAAAGGGATACAAGTCACATCGCATACAAGACGGTTCGCCAACGAATTTTAATGTCTAGCCTAACCTAACACAATCTATCTAGCCTAGCCTAACCTAACAACCTAGCCTAAGCTAATACATCCTAACTTAACGATGTATATGAAGCTTTTGAAATCACAAAACGAGGTTTGTTGACCTTATTGAAACCATCCCTACCTGCCCCCCCCCTCTCTCTCTCTCTCTTTCTCCCCGACTCACCGCCCGCCACCTCCCTTACACACCTACCTGATAAACCTCACCAAACACGGAAATATTTGCTCCCCCACAATAATGTGAAACACAGCATTATAGAAAGCTCTCCCTTCTTCATTTTTATTACTCCTCCAGTGGGTATCGAACCCCGTTATTGTGTCATCGAAGCTCATATTGCAATCTCGACTCGGAGGGGGGTTTCCGCAGCTGTCCGCCTCATTTCTTTGTGTTTGGGACACGAGACACCTAAGGTTTACTGCAGAGAATGGCGATATCTGCGTCTTGAACGATACAGAGACTTACACCCAATTTATAAAATCGTCCGATGTCGGATGAGCGGTTGCAAAGCGAAAAAGCACGAGTTTGTACATAACATATTGATGTAGGCGATGTAAGTCGATGGCATTATTTGCTCAGGAGGGGAAGAGGGCCGCCGCCGCCGCCGCCACCCGGAAATCTATGCTGGTTTTAACGTTGTTGAGGTTGATGCCAGGTCGCTGGGGCGGCACTCTACCTAGGCACTTCCCTCTGCCGCTAGGGCCATGACCACTCAGGTCTCTCCCCTTAGTCTGTCACTCACTACTGCTACACCAGTCTGGCGTCGCTAACCCCCGGGTGAGAGGGAGACCGACATTCACGTCGGCCTCTTTTCCATTATATCCGAATATCGGTCTTCAATTATTCCGATAAAAAGATATTTTAGCGGGCGAGTTTCCACATGTTATTAACGAAAACGGATAACTGTAGCGTAAATAATACGGCCGGAGACATTCAGTATTGACAGCGGGAGTGTCTTCAAATGTCAAGTGTGCTTCGGGAGCAGCCGTCGCCGCTCTATCCTAGCTGTCTTGGATGGAACGTTTGTGTAAAGTGATAATTACGTCAAAACACTGTCCCGCGTCTGCGAAATTAAAAAAAAATCTACAGACTGTCCGAGAGACAGCATGTACAAAATTCACATCCAGTTGAAATTTAAAAATCAATTGCAACGAAGTGGCGCTCTGCCGACAGGTCCAAGACACATCAAGCAAATGCTCTCTAAGAGGCTTTACCAGCAGGACTGTAAGCCGCGGCCGGGTGTACGAAACAGCACTTCTGCCGCGTTTTCTATATCGGGTATGATCTGAGTGCATTATTCTGCGCCCACATAATAGTTCACTACCCACCTCCTCCCTCCATCTGTACCTACTCCGGCTCGGTTCATCTTGATCGAACTTGACACGGCGGTTAGATCACAATACCGAAGGTCTCGGGTTAGCAAACACAGCTGGCATTAGACCAGCACGCTTAGCAAGCCACCCTTGGAACCTGGATTTAAAACGTACGAATGGCTGAAAGATATAAACATAAAGTCTTGAAACATATCTTAAGAAAGACATGGTATCCGGCAGATTCAAATTGGATAACTTTGTTTTCAAAAGATATGTGAAAACATTGGTTTTGCAACAGAGGCGTAGACGAGTGAAACAAACTGCATAGTAGTAGTAAGTGAAGTCACTTTTAAATTGGGTATCGACACAACTCCCTTCGCACGGACCAGTAGCCTAGGTCAACGTTGTTGTTGTTTATGATTCGCTACTTGGAACAAAAAGTTCCAAGTAGCACGGGCTATGGTGAGCCCGTAGTGGACTTACCTGGCGCAGGAGCGGGGGCTGTGCAGGTCAATTAGTGTTGCTTTGTATTTATAGGGTCGCCTGAACCAGCCCTTGAGCATTATCTCAACACAAGCTGGTGTCATAATTATTACTAAGTTGAGCTTAATTAATGTTAATTACAACTTAGTTTTCACAAAGAATTTAGTATTTTTGTTTACAAATCTGTTAATCTACAGGTCTTAATTAGAAACATCTCTTGCTAAAATAGTATTAAGACAATTAGGACTAAGAAAGTTTTTTCATTTCATTTACATACAATTGCAAATAGACCTAAAGAAAGCTAATTTCGTAGGGTTAGGGAATTTTGCGCCATCCCAGGTCGCGTATAGGGAGGTCGAGAAGTGCTAATCCCAATCAAGCAGGCAGGCAGGTAGGCAGGTAGGCAGGCGGACAGCGAGGGGGACATTAACCTTAGCGGAGGCGACCTGCTGCTGCCTGTGTGAGGAAAGTGGGGTGGGTTACGGGGGAGGAGGGGGCGGCCCTGTGTATATGCAGGCCCTAGCCGTGGTCCTGTGTACATGTAAGCCCCACCAATACCCCTGTGTATATACAGGCCCCAGCGGCAGCCCTGTGTACATGTAAGCCCCAGCAATACCCCAGCGTGTATGCAGGGCCAGGCGGTGATCACTCCAGCGAGTAGCGTCCAGAGCCGTGCATGCGCATGAGTCAACGCTACACTCCGGCTGCTGCTTAGAGACCCTCTTCGCTATTCTTCGCTACCACGAAATCCCTAACAGAAGTCGCGCCTATTGCTACTAACCGTTCATGACAGCGCTCTCGCCAAGCAGATATGCTCATTCTATTGACATCTGTCAAATTCTTGAGTAATACGAGGCTCTCGGTATACAGCTCCGTTAGGTCAGTAAGCTCTATTGTATCGTGCACACCACAAGGCTTCACTGATAAGTTCGGTATGATACATACATTGTTGAGATAAGATATGATGGCAAGAAAGCAGACATGACGAGGTGATTGACAACACAGAATTTCTTAAGATCATGCAGAGTGCAACGTACCATGCAACACCGACCAGCTTGCATCACTTATGTGATTTCAACAAATAAAACTGACCTCGGGGAGAGTACGCACACGTCACAACACACACACACACACAACATATACAACAAACACACCACACACACGCACTCAAATATACATCACACGCACACATACACACAAACACAACATACACAAACATAAACACATCATAGACACCATTGCGCGTGTGTGTGTACCCACCCCTACATGTGCGTGCAGTGCGAGTCTCAGCCTATTGCCATGGCTGGCGACCATGCTGTTTCATACCATACCATACCATACCATATCATACCTACTTTTGGAACTAAGTATGAAGTTGTCATCATCATCATCATCCCTCTTGCCCACTATTACACTGAACCAGTTCCTCCTGACATCACTATGACTCCTGCCAGCCTCTAGTTCAACACCACCCCCCACCCCACCCCACTCAACGCCCTCTCGTCTTACTGCTCGCTGCTCAACATATTCTTTGCGTGCAGTTGATCATTGTCTCTTAAAAATTCTCTCATGTTGTGGGATTGAGCGCGCGCGCGCGTGCGGCCAGCAGTTCGCGTCCAGTGATGAAGAAAATGGTCCATAAAGTAGTGGCAGCCAACACAGGTGAAGAAGTCCCAGCAACATCACACACACACACACTCAAGCACACTCAAGCGCACACGCATACTCGCCTCGCTCCAAACTTCCCTGCAACGCGACCCTGAAACATAAACCGCTCGGCAAAAATACCTAATAAAAGCACAAGTGAGACAGTGTTGAAAATCCGACTTACCTGTTGAGAAAAAGCACCTCTAGGGGGGTAGTGTTGGCAGATCCACTCCTGCCAACACTAACAGTAACTTGTGTGCGTGTGTGTGTGTGCTTCTCAACTCCCCGCAAGCGTCGCTGGGTTAAATCCTTAGAAAATCACCAATTACAGCAATATTTGCACTACCCCTCGGCACCTCAGTCCGTGCCTGACTGATCAACACTGATTCTTAATTCGATCACTGGGTTTTCCTCGCTACACGAGCGGCCAAGCACCAAAAGTCGGAGATAAATCCTGAACAATACTTCCCCGTCTGAACGCTCAACGTGAACTAAACTGATCCGTGTCTCGTAGTTTGTCTCTACTACTGATCCCCGTTGCTGGTTACTCTTTTTCGCGCGCCCAATTTATTGGCCGGTAGATATACGTCGCTTACCCGTTATAGAGATGCGATTCTTCGAAGATCAATACGGCCGTAGACGTCTGCAAGAAATCATTTGCATTGAGGTAGAATTGAGGGAAGAATATTGGGAGTTAGTTCCCACATCCGCCAACTGGCTTCCTTCTCGGCGGTGGTGGGAGGGAGGGAGAGGGATGGGAGGGAGGGAGAGGGATGGGGGGGATGGAGCAGAGGAGGGTGGAGGAGGCAAACACCGGGTGACCATCGCACTCAATTTCTCACAACATTATCTTTGTTAGCGACGATACGAGCCAACTATAACGCGAGCTTCGAGTCACTTCACGAAACAGACCAAGAGCTGAGGAAGTTAGCGCACTTGGCCTTGACATTTGAGCAAAGGTAACACAGTTGGAGAGAGAGAGAGAGAGAGAGAGAGAGAGAGAGAGAGAGAGAGAGAGAGAGAGAGAGGGAGGAGGGGAGGGTAGGGTCCGTTAATATCTAGAACGAGAAGCAAGTTGTGATTTATCCAACACTCGCTTATGAAGCCTCGGGTTACCAGCGTAATGACGCTTGGCCTCGCCGTAATGGTCGAGACATCGGCGCTTTATCTCAAGCTCTCGAGTTTTCAACTTAAATTCAATAGTGAGCGCGAGGAAAATGGTGTAAAAGAGAGGTTGTGTGGTGAGGCGCGGCAACCAGTCTTCCAGGGGAGGCCCAGACTACCTGAACAGACCCGACCTCCACACACACACACTCACGCACTCACACGCACTCTCACACACTAGCAACATCCTCGCCTCTACCACTTTCCTCCGTCTCCTTAACATCACCTTCCACACAAGCGTAGCGAGTGAGGAGAGAGAGAGAAGCAAGACAGGGTGAGGATGATCCAAGCATCAAGGAACGGACCCTCACAGGTAAGATCAGGATGCTGCCCCATCTCCTGCCCCGACCAAGGTACTGTAGGAAGGACCCACACAGGTAAGATCAGGATGCTGCCCCATCTCCTGCCCTGACCAAGGTACTGTAGGAAGGACCCTCACAGGTAAGATCAGGATGCTGCCCCATCTCCTGCCCTGACCAAGGTACTGTAGGAAGGACCCACACAGGTAAGATCAGGATGCTGCCCCATCTCCTGCCCCGACCAAGGTACTGTAGGAAGGACCCACACAGGTAAGATCAGGATGCTGCCCCATCTCCTGCCCCGACCAAGGTACTGTAGGAAGGACCCACACAGGTAAGATCAGGATGCTGACCCATCTTCCGTTAAGGCAGTACTCTGGTTAGCTCACCTGGTGAATTCAAAACTACCTGTCGGAAATTATATTATGATAACTTTGAATGTGATACATCAGTTGTCGATATTAGTGATAATAATTAGTAATAGCAATAATAAATGTATTACTAATTATTAATATTCATATTCTTAGCAGCATTATTTCCGGGATTACCAATTATTATTACCAATAAATATTACCATAATAATAATATTAATTCTTATTACTATGATTGAAATTATTATTATTATTGTTTACGTGGGGGATACCTGGGGTGACGCAGCTTGCTTCAACGCCGGGGGGGTGACGCAGCTTGCTTCAACGCCGGGGGGGGGGGCCGGAGCTTGCTTCAACGCCGGGGGTGACGGAGCTTGCTTCAACGCCGGGGGGTGACGCAGCTTGCTTCAACGCCGGGGGTGACGCAGCTTGCTTCAACGCCGGGGGGGTGACGCAGCTTGCTTCAACGCCGGGGGGGTGACGGAGCTTGCTTCAACGCCGGGGGGTGACGCAGCTTGCTTCAACGCCGGGGGGTGACGCAGCTTGCTTCAACGCCGGGGGGTGACGGAGCTTGCTTCAACGCCGGGGGGTGACGGAGCTTGCTTCAACGCCGGGGGGTGACGGAGCTTGCTTCAACGCCGGGGGGGTGACGGAGCTTGCTTCAACGCCGGGGGTGACGCAGCTTGCTTCAACGCCGGGGGGTGACGGAGCTTGCTTCAACGCCAGGGGGGTGACGGAGCTTGCTTCAACGCCAGGGGGTGACGGAGCTTGCTTCAACGCCGGGGGGTGACGCAGCTTGCTTCAACGCCGGGGGGTGACGGAGCTTGCTTCAACGCCGGGGGGTGACGGAGCTTGCTTCAACGCCGGGGGTGACGGAGCTTGCTTCAACGCCGGGGGGTGACGGAGCTTGCTTCAACGCCAGGGGGTGACGCAGCTTGCTTCAACGCCGGGGGGTGACGGAGCTTGCTTCAACGCCGGGGGGTGACGGAGCTTGCTTCAACGCCGGGGGGTGACAGCTTGCTTCAACGCCGGGGGTGACGCAGCTTGCTTCAACGCCGGGGGTGACGGAGCTTGCTTCAACGCCGGGGGGCTTGCTTCAACGCCGGGGGTGCGGAGCTTGCTTCAACGCCGGGGGGTGACGGAGCTTGCTTCAACGCCGGGGGGTGACGCAGCTTGCTTCGGGGGGTGACGGAGCTTGCTTCAAGGGGGGTGACGCAGCTTGCTTCAACGCCGGGGGGTGACGCAGCTTGCTTCAACGCCGGGGGGTGACGGAGCTTGCTTCAACGCCAGGGGGGTGACGGAGCTTGCTTCAACGGGGGGGTGACGCAGCTTGCTTCAACGCCGGGGGGTGACGCAGCTTGCTTCAACGCCGGCGGGTGACGGAGCTTGCTTCAACGCCGAGGTGTGTTCCTCTCATGGAGTGGTACACACACGGTACGTACCGGGGTTAGCAATGGAGTGGGAAAGTACCAATATATATATACCACGAGGCTTTCACTAGGGCAACTTCGTCTACATCTAGTCGACTGTTTCAGTCTTATGTATTTCCATTCAATAATGACAAAGAATAAAAACACTAAAAATAACAATAAACTACAGCAATTATCTAGGAGAATCAGCAACAATAACAACCGATCATTAATCACTGCTGCAACACTAACAACAAACAAACAAACGCTAAACAAAGATAAGAACTATCAGTGTTTACAAGAAGCGCAAGAACAAACAAAAACAAATATAACGTGAACAAACAAACAGCAAAAACAAGAGCAGGTGGGAAGAGACTTCTGAGAAAATATAATGGCTTCCACACACTGTTCTTGTCAGGGACAAGCGCTAACACACACACAATATTATATAATATGTATTATATACACACATATATATATGGAACATATATGTAATACATGTATAATACATTTACACACATACGTATATTGTGTGTGTATCTGGCTCTATATATATATATATATATATATATATATATATATATATATATATATATATATAATATATATATATATATATATATATATATATATATATATATACACACACACACACACATACATATACATATATATATATATATATATATATATATATATATATATATATATATATATATATATATATATATATATATATATATGATCAAATCCTTCTGAAGGATCATCCTCCTTCGGAAGATGTATTATTAAATACGAAAGTACTTAAGGAAAGTCCTGCCTCCATCCTTCCTTCGTGGTCTAACACCGTCTATATATATTTACATAATATGCATACGTTGTATCAGTACTTGGATGATCATCAGTTTTTTTATCCCGTATAGTGTGAATTAATATTGACAAATAAACACTACATGAACGTAGTCTAATATTTTATTAATGTGAAACGAGCCAACACTAATTATACAGGAGCCCTTTACGCAACAAAGTCAGCTGCACAAACCAGTAGGTCACGAAACGCTCCGCCGACTAGGCTGCCATACGCCTGAAATGAATTAGTGATCTGCGTACCCTAACAAGATTGATCAATGCGCAATACAGTCTTATCAAGAATGCGTATATTAATATACGCATTCTTGTGTATATTAATATATGCGTATATCAATATATCGTATATCAATATATGCGTATATTAATATACGCATATATTAACACAATATTAATAATGAATGCACATACGTAAGGCAAAATACCATTCACTGGGTCATTGAGAAATTATATATATATATATATATATATATATATATATATATATATATATATATATATATATATATATATATATATATATATATATAAATCACCGCCAGAAATACCGAGTGCCTTTCAGGTTATAAACAGATCAATACACGTATCTTCGAAGTGATGAAGTAGTATGGGACGTTGTTCATTGGCCGTTACTTGAACACAGGCATTGTTCAATTAGGACACACGAAAACAAGTCCCACCTTCCCTCACCGTATATAACTAACTGGCCGTTGAACTGAACACAGATGTACACAGTCTCACACAGTATTCAACATTACATTCTGTAAAACGTAATGAAATGTTCTCAATGAGGTAAGGGAAAAGGGTCGGTGCCCTCTTGGAACACACACTACTAATTACTTAATGTTCAAAAACTATTTCCTTCCTGAGTCTTGCGTTGTCTCCTGGGTGGAACCGGTTCAGCATAGTGATGTTGAGATGGTATGTCTCAGATATTACTTAGCCTCAGGCGCTCGTATGCTGTAACCACAACACCTTAATAATGCAAAAACCCATAATATATAACAACATTTTACACCTCGGAATACATCATACACAGCACCGCTCCTGTGCCAGGTAAGTCCACTACGGGCTCACCATAGCCCGTGCTACTTGGAACCTGCTCCGAGTAGCTGAATCTATAACAACAACAACAACCTCGGAATAAAGTTGATTATATTGTATGGAAGATTCATCCCGTCAGCTTGTTGCTTGCTGTCACATGCTGACATTAACAACTAAGTCAGTATTTGACTTGTAACTTAGGCTGGAGGATGAGTTAACAGCCTATCATCAAAACAAAATGCTGTCAGCTTCACATCGTGTAAATAAAAAAAATGATTTACTAATATCTACGTAAATCAATATTTGACATATAGTCCACCTAGTCATTCGACTATACG